TCTCTGTCTTTACGTAAAACTTCTCGTTCATGGTCTTTTTTAATTTTTTTAAAATCGTCTTCTGATTTTGTAAAGACCCTTTGATATTTGTCTAACTTCTTATACCAGTTTATACTGGTAGATGTTTCTTGATTTTCACTTACTGCCATGCTCTGCATTTTGTTCTAGATTGTTGTAGCGCTTTGTTTGTATATTTTGATTACGTATATGCTTGTTTGTTTGTTTATTTCAGAACACATAATGTGAGTTTGTTTTCTTGCCTAAATTGAGTCTATGCTTGTTTGTTTTCTTGTTTCGCATTTGTGCATATAAACAGATCTACAGTACAGGGTCTAGAGCAAACTCCCAAATTTTTCAAAAAATTTTTTATAACAGTTTTTCATTCTTGTAAAAAACTTATTTCGTAGCTATAGCTTTTAAGGCTTGCTTGATTGTCTTAAACTTCTAAATAACTAGTGTTTGTTTTTGAAGTTCTTTTCTTTTTTTTAGTACTATATAGGCTGTATCCTAGTCTGGATTTTCCTCTAGTTATCGGTTTTCTTTTTCAACAAATTTGGAACTGAGGATCAGCAAAGAGAGTTTGTTCCTGAGCTATACTATTTATTAATTTTATAATAAACATTAATAATTCTAGATTTTTGGCTTTTGGATATAAAGTATTGATTAAAAAAGTGTACTTTATTTTTTTGAGCTAGTATTTTTAGTTAAATCAAAACTATGAGTTTGGCTATACTAATATATAAATACTTTTTACTAAACTATATTTTTTTATAATATATATGATTCTTAATAATCTAAAAGCTTTTTTTTTTAGTCTATATATCAAGAAATAATTTATATTGATTTTAAGTAAAAAATATTTTTCTCAAATATAAAGATACTATATTAGATTTTATAGAATTATCTAAATTATTTACAAATAAAACACTAACTCAAGTTAATTAAGTTACTTCTATTATATAGAAAGATTTGATATTGAAGTATATTATTTAATATTATACAATAAGTAAAATGGTAACTAGATCTTATAATATTAGTAGCAAAGCTCAAAAAGTTTTATAAAACTATAAAATACTACTATAATATATATATAATTATCTAATACTATACTATAAATTATAAAACAAAGAGGGCATTTTTAAAGGCAAAATTCTTTTCAGGTTTATTATTTTTCTCACTTTAACATTTCACGTTATCAAGTAAAATAGCCTATTTTAAAATTTCTCATACTGTAAAAAATTTATCACTTGATCTGCGTGACATCTCAAGTTGTACGAATGTCGTGTAACATAAACGTGATTATAGAGTAAATCAGCTGTATTGTCTGTAATAATAACACGACTCTATTAGTTCGTGAGTATTTAATCAAAATTCGGTGAGTATTTAATTAAAAAACAAGGCACTAAACAGTTCACAAATTTTCAGCCAGTAAGTATCGAAAGCCATAACACGCACAACTCTAAACTATCCACATGCGTATGCACAATGTGCAATGAATCTCCGGAGACTTTTTTACCTGAGAATACAGGGCAGGATCTATCTAAACAATTTATTGCGGGGATCAATAAATTTAAATCACAGATGAAAAGAAGTAAGTTCATCTTCAGGATTTGATCCAAGTGGTTCATAAATTTCAGGAATTGATCAAGTAAATTCGTCAATTGGTGCTCTTGATAAAGAGAATACACGAAATGAGTTGTCAAATGATACTATAATTGCCGAAGATGAGCCACCAAAAGTCAGTGTGGGTAAAAGTATTGATCAACGTAATTCATTGATCACTAAGGATGCAAATACTGACAGAGAAGATCACCAACATAAACAAGATCTGGATAGGCTGCCAATTGATTCTACTCGTAATCACAATCGTCAACTTCGTAAAAAGTGGACCAGTGAAGAACTACAAGCATTGGAGGATGGTATGAGAGAATATGGGACGCATTGGGTTAGAATATTAGAAAAGCATGGTACATCTAATGGTCCTTTGAGAAATCGTACGCAAGTTCAATTAAAAGACAAAGCGCGCAATGAAAAGCAACGAAGAATGAAAGCGGGAATGGATGTAGGTGTTTTTGCACAAGCGTCTGGTTAAAAATTAAATTTAGTAAATAAAATATATTGGTGAAAAACCTCCATCACGTTAGTCAAATTAAACCACTAAACTATTAGAGAAAGCAACTGGCTAATCACGTCACAGCTTTACTTATTATTGAAAGTTACTTCGTATCGTTACAATATTATCATACGTAACATAAAATAAACGATGCCTCATTATTAGGGTCAGGGCTGGATCACCATATCAGCTATTTACATATAAATTTTGATTTAGCATGATATATATTAAAAATAACAAGCTCCACCAATGTTAATATTCGACTTATTCTGTAATATAAAAATATGAGACATATAAGAAACTCGTTTAAACTGTTTGAAACCATTTTACCGATAAATGAAACTAATATTATTAATTAATCTCGTCGATATAGAAATCCCCAATAGTGCAAAGAATAATACTCTGCACCAAAACAACTTCCATGAAGCAACAAAAGCAGAAGAGCCTGCCCAAAAAGATTCTATTTCCAATCAGTCTCAAGAAATCATAGACAAATATGATATCTACAACTCAATGTGGGCGCCAAAAGAAAGCAAAGAATACAAACGAGAAACAAATAAAAAACCTGGAAAAATTAATATTATGGTATGGGATATACCAAATGAAACAAGAGCTAACCAGATAAGAAGATATCTAGGATACTATAGAAAAGCAACAGTTTTAAGCTTCATGGCAAACGGCAAGAACAAAGCAGCCTTCATCGAAATAGAACCAAGAGATGAAAGGAAAAAAGGACTGCTACAGTCAATGTGGGCAATACATCTCGAGAAGGGTAAAATGTCAAGATTAACCCAAGGCAGGTT